AACTGAACTGGTATCCTTTATTTTTATAACAAGATTTAGTTGTTTGTTGGCTTTGAATCGATTTTTGTAATACCTATTGATTTTTCCTCTAGTTCACATTTTTAGTAAATTTAATTTAACAATCAACAAACTGTATGCTAGAAAATGTGCTATGTGTCATAGGATGTAAAGAGAGATAAGCCGCCATCACACCCTCAAAGGTCCTATATTCTGGTAGTAAATGTAGCATGACTTTTTGTAATTGAAAGATTCCCTGAACTAAAATTCAGGAATCTAGGTTCCTGCGTTGCATCTATTTCCACCTAACAGGTGACTTTGAATGAGTCGTTTACCTTTTCTCCATTTGTAAAGTGATATAGGCCAAAATAAAGAAATTTACAGGTGGAAGAGACCTTAGAATTGTTCTAATCTACTGAGAGTCTGCTTTATTGATGCCATTAGAGAGGAACATGATAAAAAAGATAAGATGCCAAACATTGCATATGATTATAGACCTTTCTGTAGTTGTAGAAGATAATGGTAAGGATTCAGAGACTCCAAGATTATTTGCAGGAGCTGGACTTAGAGTGAGATTCTCAAGTTCACATGTAGCCCCTAAGACTGGAAGGGAAGCTTAGAGGTAACACAGCAAAGAACCTTACAGTCAAATCCACTCAGTTCAGTACACCAATATTAATCAGGCTGCACAATTGGTCTGTAGTTATCTGAAGGACTTTAAAAAGGGCATCTGGCCATGGGCATTTAGCTGATCTTAAGACTTGGCACACCATAGTTCCAGAAAAAGAGAAGTCAGTGTCCATGATTATGATGGAATAGCTTTCTCTGGGCCTGTTACTTTCCAGAAGCAGAGGTGGTCCTGAATTGTTTAAATTGCAACGTTTATGAGTGAACCTAAAGGAAAGGATCTTCTCCTCTACAGATAAATGAGGCCTTTAGGGTCACTTTCTGAGATACCGATAGATTTAAGAAATGTTGGAGGACAATGAAGGTCTTTACAATGGTACAGAATCAATAAAGTTGTCATAGCAGTGTATTTGTGTACAGTTTTTCTACTTATGAGGAGAATTTATCACCATGAAATATATATTTCTCCCCCGCAAAGGGACGTATTTGAACCAAAGAGATAGTACTTGCACAACATTTAAAGTGTGAGTATATTTTCCCCAATCAATGAGAATTTATGTATAAAAAAAAAAGAAGAAGAAAGAAATATCAGGCTCTATTAATTATGCAGAACAAAGGCATTCAAGTTCGCTCCGATTCTTCTAGGACTGCTGCTATCCTCCAGTGAAAAAGGCAGGCTCCTTTAAAAAGTTGTATTAATTCTTTCAGGTCTCTAGGGTGCTATCTAGCAAGTTAAAATCTTTTGTACCAGACACTTCCCTCTGCTTTTCACACCAGTGGGAGCAACTGGAATAAAACTGACAACATCAGGGTAACTGTCTTGAATTCCCAGAAACCTGTTTTGCCTTCACATTCTTATTGCTATTTTTAGCGGTTTGTGAGGACAAGAGCAGTTCTTCAATCATCATGCCTCAAACAGCGGGCATCATGCCCTGGCTTTGCAGGCAGCTTGTTAGGGGCATTATTGGGATCAGAGTCCAGAATAAAGCAGGCTCTTATTTACAGTTTAAATTGATGATCATCCATGGGCTCTTTCTCTGCAAGCCTGCTGTAAATTATAGCAGCTTTCCTTGGGCAGGTCTGTTACAGTAAAAACTGTAATCTCATCATGTCAGTCTAAGAAATCTGGACTAACTAAAAGACATAGAAAGCCTACTCTTAGGTATCATCCTAGCTCATTCATAGTCTCTTTCAGAAGGAACTCTGCACCTGACCTCTGATCTGACCTCTGCACCTGACCAACTGACCTCTGATATATTATCAGA